ATGTAATAGTTGGCCAAACAATCACAAGCATTAAGAATAAATTGAAATACTCAGCATATATGGATTAAACATCAATTACTTAAAAATAAGATTGAGAATTTGAACATTCATAATCCGGCTACATCGTAGCCCTAGAAAAAGGAATTAGTTCATCTCTAAACAAAATAAATTCCTAAACAAAGTCTTAATCATTGGAAAGAAGAGAAAAGAACTAGTTTGGAGTTGAATTGATGCGTCTCCGTCTTCAGATTTGAGCCGTTCTTCTTCTCTGTCCCAATTCTCCTTTTCTTCTCTTGAATACTCTCTCAAAAGCCAGCTGTCATTCCACAATCTAAAAGTCCCTTCTAATTGCCCTAGAATCATCTATTTATATGTTTCGGAGCATTAGGGTCAAAACGGGTAAGTTTTCTCGCGATTGGCCTTCAAAACGCGTATTTTCTCGCGTCGTAGCACCGCGGCGCTGAGTTTCTAGTGCTGTGGCGCTGTTATATAAAACCCCTGGGCGCTGCGGCGCTGTAATGGGCGCCTAAGCGCTGCCCATTCTACCCCAATGCACTAATTCCGTCGGATTTCAGTGAAATTTGTCCAAAACCTTCCAAATCGTAGACTTTCACCTAACCTTCAAACAAAGAATAAAAACACACATAAAAATTAACAAAAATCTCGAAAACAAACTAGATATTAAGTGTAAAACGATACTAAATGAGCGAGTAAAACTCACTCATCAATACTAGATGATATAATGCGCTACACTACACGCATATATTCAACGTATTATATTTTTTGCATATAAAGATTTAAATTTTCTTCAATTTTTTTATTGATTTAGTATTCTCTTAAGAGTTTAGTTTGACAAAAAGTAAAAAATAAAAAAACTTAAGTAGAGCGTAATTAAAAGGAAAACAAAGTTCATTAAAAAAAAAAGGGAAAACAAAGTTTTTAGTGGAGCAAATTAGAAAATAAATTATTTATGAAGAATATTATTTAAGAGGTTTATAAGGAAAAAAATATTTAGTTAGAGACATACTTGAGAAAAAAATAAGAATGAAAATACTAATGTGAGACTCAAGGAGACAATGGTATTTACCGATTGCTGGCCATAGTGCCAGTGTTAGCAATTGTATTTGGTATTTACAGATAAATACGGTATTTAGAGGTCGTAGGCGTCTACACCGATGTTGGAGGTCATATTTACAGATAAATATGGTATTTTTCCGTAGAACACTATAGTAGAATCAAAATCATAAATTTAACAGTACATATCAATGAGCAAGAGAAAAAAAATTCAGCTTTTCCGATCTAGTCCTTATGCCACCTCCCCTCTTGCAACGGCAACCTTCACAAATATTTACAGTGTCAAACCCCTTTCGCAAAACCTAGCGAACACTAGAGACGATGACATCAGGCTCACCCTCCTCCAGCGAATGCAACCTTTGCATCGTGCCGCCCAACCCTGATGAGCCTACACGCTGGGCGCTGCCTCATATCTGCGACCCAACTTTGAGGTCGTCCACGATCCATTCTCATAAAAAGAAAAAACATTTTTGAATAGAAACTAAAATCAACAAAATCAAAACTCACTTTTAAAGTCGAAATTATACAAAAAGCTAATCCAGTTTGCTAAAAATCTATTTCGAAAAATTTTAAGATTTTCTTTAATTATGCAAATAAAATAATAATTTTGCATAAACGATAATGCCCAAAATCTTAGAACTATATGATTTTCACAATTCAATAATTAAGGAGAAAACATACCTTGATCCGTGATGAGTTATTGAAAAGACTAATCGATCGTAAGAAGATTTTTAAAAGAAACTATGGGCCCGTTTGTTTGCGTTTTCATTTTCATTTTTCACGGTTTTCAAAGCAAAAAAATGAAAACGGGTGTTAAAAACGTGTTTGGTGCAATTTTTTTTTAAAAACAAAACCAAAAATGTTTGTCTTTTTGTGGAAATCAGAAAACGAAGAAAAGGTGTTTTCATTTTCTCATTTTCGTTTTCTGTTTTCTGAAAAACGGATTTCACTTTTTTTTTTTTCATTTTCTTCCCTCTTTTCTGAAACCGTTTTTGTATTATATATGTTTATTTAATATATTTATTTAATATATTATTATTTAATATATTTAATAATGTTATTTATTTAATATATTATTACATGTTTTCAAAAATTAAACCATCAAACGCAGTTTCAGTTTTTTTTAAAACTGAAATCAATCTCTAAATAAAACTACCAAACGCATTTTTAGAAATAATTCAAAAATAAAACTAAAAACGTTTTCATTTTCATTTTCGTACAGAAAATAAAAACGTTTTGGAATCAATTCCAAACGCACCCATTATTACATGTTTTTAAAAATTAAACCACCAAACGCAGTTTCAGTTTTTTTTTAAAACTGAAATCAATCTCTGAATAAAACTACCAAACGCATTTTCAGAAATGATTCCAAAATAAAAATACGTTTTTGTTTTCATTTTCATACAAAAAACAAAAACGTTTTGGAAACAATTCCAAACGCACCCTTTGATTCCTTAATTTTTGAAAAATTAATTTTAGGCCCTCAAACTTTTTAAACTCATATTTTGACCCTTTAAATTTTTTAAAATTATATTTTGACCCTAAAACTTTTTCTAAATTATAATTTTACCCATCAATTTTTAAAAATTACAAATTGACCTCATTTTTAAAATTTTTTTTACAAAAATACCCATATTGAGCAACTCTACTTTATTCGTTGCCCGCTCTTAATATTGCATTTGAATTGAGATTGAAGTCGAGCTATGTTATGACAATAAACATAGTATAATGTAACTTCTTACAAACTAAATACTGTATCATATAAAATTTATATAACATATATAATATAATATAATACGATATAATACAATATAATACAATACGGTACGTATTCTAAAAGGGGTTTTATAATCAAAAGGGTAAAAATCCTGAAAAGTTAAAAGGGTCAATGCGTGAAATTTTCTCTTGGAAAATAGTAAAAAATAGGCTAATATGAAAAGCTTAAGAAAGTATATAGACCCATTTTTAGTTATAGAAATTAATAGGCCATAACTTGTCAAGTTATGGTTCATAACCAGATAAGTTATAAATAATTATGGACAATAACTTATCAAGTTATAGTTTATAACCAGATAAATTATATAAACTATTAGCCTATTAATTTTAATTCATCTCAGTCTTAGCCTATTTCCTTCTTTCTCCCTTTTCTCTTCACTTTTAAGCTTATTATTGGGCTTGGCCCAAACCTTAAAACGAGCCCTACTCCCAGTTCTCAGTCCTACGCAAGAAAATGAGAAAAAAAACTCCATTACTCTCTTCTTCCACTCTCGTTCTGTCTAACAATGGCGTCTTCTCGTTCTCTGCACCGAAAAACGACCGAAATCACCAGAACTCTCCGCTTCTTCTCGACCAGCAGCGCCCCAAAGCCGTCGCCCCGCAACAACCACAGCGAGAATCACCAGTACCTAGAGGTGAACCCCTTCCTCGGAAGCTGGGAGGCTCCGAAGGACCCGAGGGAGGCGGAGAGGCGGCTCGCGCAGCTCCGGAGGGACTACGCCAAGCAGGTCAAGGAGCTTCGCAAGGAGTACATCAAGGAGGTCGAGCTCATGAGGCTCGAGAAGCTTCGCAAGGACGAGAGTCGCAAGGAGGCCCTCAGGTTGCAGAACGAGGAGAGGAAGAAGCAGAAGGCCGAGGCCGCCAAGGTTGGGGCTCACGAGCGACAGAAATTCCAGGAGGAGTTGCATCAGACCCTAGTATGTCCTCTCTCTCTCTCTCTATCTCTCTCTCTCTCTCTAATGGTGGTTTGGGAGATTTTAGGTTATGAATGTTCTATTGTTTTGTTCTTGTTCTTCGGTATTCGGTTCATTTTGATTATTTGATGGATCGTCGTGGAAATGGTCGTAAGAATTTGATTTTAGGTTACTTTTTCTGTTTGGTTTGCTGAGAAAGATTTGGGGAAAGTGAAGGAAGACATGGGAGGGAAAACAAAATTAGAAATCTTTGGCTTATTGTGTTTTATACGAAGTTACTGGGTAGATTTCTGAACGAACATTAAAACAGAAAAGGTTGGATTAGTCTTTATGTTTATACAAGTATTTTGTTTTACTAGAATTGTTTGAAATCAAAATCTATTCTTTCAGTAGAGTAGATATTCCAAAGTTGAAATATATGTGGTATTCGAATGTTATATATATAAAAGGCATTGTTTACTCTCTTGAACAATGCCTTTTCTTTTCCAGTGAGAATTAACGTTGTGTTTGGTAAGAGGAAATGAAAATAGAAAGGAAAGTAAGAAACAAGCTGAGGAAACTAGAGAGGTTGGGGGGCCTTTCTAGTGTCGTGTTTGGTATAAATTGCCTCCTTTAATATGAAGAAAAGCAGGGTTCTTTGAAGAATTTGAAATTTCTAATCCAATTCATTCCTCCCTCTTTCTCCTCTCAAACAACCATCGGCTCACAAACAACCACTGACAATTTCATCGGTGTTCATCTATTCGTCATGTCTTAAACATGATGGGAAAAAATGTTTTAAATATCAACCAGATTTCTTATTCTAGGCTTGTTCAGACCTAGGCAATCTAGTTGTTTTTTCGCAGAAGTATAAAAATTCAGTAATAGATATGTTGTCTGCATTGTATTTAAGCTTCAATTAGGCAGAAGGATGTACTTAACCCCCTCAGAGCTGGGGAAGAAGAGCATTCTTCGGGCATTTTTGTAAAGACTAAGGAGTATACTAGGTTTTGTGGAAAAGGTGAATTGCAGTTAGAAGCTGCTTAATGAATATATTTGTAAGACCATAGTTTCTTGTTTTGTTATTGTAAGTGTGGTATCTAATCTGAAGCAGGTTATACTTGCTTGCATAAGTTCAGCGTCTTTATTTAGGTGATACAGAGTTAATAGTTTTTGCAGTGGATTCTTCGAATTAGTTGTGAGTACTATTGTTTGCATTGTAGTTTGAGAGATGCGAAATTTATATTAACTTGTTGACAGATGCAACTCCTAGTTTACTTGTGCGTATGATGCTTTGCTTTAGGAATGCCATGGCACCAACTCAGCCTTTTTTTTTTTTTAACGATAAAATCATTTTGGTACCCTGTCTTTTAGCGAAACATGCTCTTGGTACCCTGTGTTTTTTATAATACTAAAGCGGTACTGCAACATTTTTGGTATCCTGAAGTTGATTTTTGAAACGTAAAATGATCTTAGTACTATCCTATTTAATTAACCAGAAGATCTTTTAAAATATTTTAGATTTTTTTAAAAAGTTGATTTCTATTTAATTAATAGGAAGAGTAGTTTGGACATTACATGTCCCAAAAATCAGCTTTAGGGTATTAAGGAGATTATTTTAAAACGTCAGGATATCATTTTAATATTATAAAAAACACAGTCCAAGAGCATGTTTTGCTATGACACAGGGTATCAAAATGATTTTATCCTTTTTTTTATATCAAATAGTGCATTATCAGGTATTCTTTTTGTCCTTTTTTTTAATCTCACTAAAAGATCGTCATTTCTTAATTGTTATCGGATTTGTTGCTTCCATTGTCAAAATTTGCGATACGTCTTTTTGAACTTTGCAGTTGAAAGAAAGAGCAGAGAAGCTTGAAAATTGGAGGATGAAAGAGAAGCGTAGAGAAGAAAAGAAGAAAGAGAAGAACGAGCTCTTACGCGGGCAAAGTTCTGTGTGGATTGACCAACCTGATCTGGAAAAGAGAATACTAGAAGCAATTGTTGATTCAACACCCCTATAAGGCCCTTTTCAAGTTCCTTATTTCTCTGGTAGAGATTTTTGTCTAAGAAAACGTTTGCTTGGCTAAATCTAATTTTTGTAATGTACTCTTCTTAGTTGATGTCAATATCATTTGATATATATTTCCTACTAGACGAGAAATTCACACATTCTCATTGTTTAGGTATAAGAGAACACCTGAGACGGCTGCAGAATAGATTTGGAAGGTACTTTGTGGGGCGCAAGTTTGATTGATCTTATGATATGAAGGAAGACAACAGAAGAATAACCCATTTAGCTTGTGCTGTACAAAAAAATTAAAATCTTGCTTGTTTGGGATATTATTTTAGGGTTAAATATTTTGCTGAGATTTGAAAAACTAAGGGTTCTTTCCTTTTCCATCTCTACCGGTATGATCGATGCGACACTTTTTCTTCTCGAGTCAAAATGCAACTCTTATTATGGTTTTGGGATTTTTGCTATCTCGTTTGCTAATTGGTTCTGAATTTCGCTGCTGCGCCATTAAAAATTACGCCAAGCAAAGGAAAATGACTAGTGAGATCAGAAGTAGATTAGGATCCTTTACCATAAGCGTCATGAAAAGAGAATATGCGAAACCTATCTCAAAAGGATTCAACAATTATCCAAAGAATTTACTCTTATGACCATCTAAATTGGGACAGTGATCGAGTCTAAAGATTATAAAATGACAAATCGGATTGGAATGATTAAAAACATATAATAAAAAAAATCCCTGATCTCTCTTTTTTTCTTATTTAAAAAAATAAATAAAATAACCTTTTGTTGTGTCTCAAAGCCCCCCTTTTCCAATACTAACTGGATACACAGTATGGTAGAAATAAAACAATTCTAATACCCTTTTCTCATTTGCTCGACAAAAACACCAGTTCTATAGCATAAGAATGATTGCATGAACTCAAAACTATCATTTACATCCGTCAAGTAAAACAAAGCAAAGAATACACCTACTTCAAAATATTTGAGTGGTAAAGCTAGAAATAGAGAGAGAGAGAGCTTGTTTTCCAGCGCAACAAATTCACTCACTGGGTCTTTGGTTTCTCTATCTTCACATAAGGCAATAACCCCAAGCAGTGGACCACTTTTGGATTCCATCCCCGTTGTTGAGCACGACAGAACATCAAGAACGTGTTGGCGAAATAAGAATTGAACCCCATAAGGACGTGCCACAGAGCATGACCCTGCGGGTTAATGAACCAACTGGAGATGTTCTTGCAGAACAGACGATCCAAGAGCCAGCAAAGACTTCCAACGAATATGGTGCCGAGATACAACTTTGCAAGCCACTTTGCGTGTGCATCTTTTGTGTGTATGTAGTACTTGTACATCCGAGGGATGCAGAGTAGGCACAGGATCACGTAATGCACTTTGAAGCCGATTTCAAAGCGAACTAGTGAATGGAAAACAGCAAATGCGGCACCATAAAGGAACAAGAAGGTTGGCATTGTGCTCCGGTAATGCCAATCTGGAGAGTAGAGGATGTAGATATACAAGAGCATTTCCCATACCATTGGTGTTTCATCGCCTTGCTGTTGTCTGGAAACAAATGAAAAATTATTGACAATTTTAAATTGCCTTGGTGGATGAATTAGTCATGACATTCCGATATTGACATCACAATCTTTCCAGCATGAGTACATCCCGACGGAAATCACAAATCTAGAAACAGCATGCATATGCAGATTTTGTTTTACACTTTATCAGTGCGCAAAGGCAAATGTAGTACAGGCAATATGCAGCATTTCACCAATTTCACCTTGCTCAGAGTACTTAACTAACGAAGAAAATATCAGTAAATTCAACTCAGTTGTACAGTGTTATGATCTAAGAAAATGTCTTGGTTTGAAAATATTTACTTTCCGATAAGTAGAAACAATAAATAGAATCCCTTCAAGCGAAGTCTACATGTTCCACAAACTCTATCCTCTTTCATTTGATGCCAAGGCGAGGGAACAAAACTTCCATCTTCTATACAAAGCAAGACTTTACTATAAAGCTAACTAAAAAGAGTTCAAAGAATAGTTCTTACTTCATTTACACTAGCAGGCAAGCAGAAAGGCTAAAAAGAAAGAAACTTCCATCAAAGTGATTGAGAATAATTACCTATTCACTACACTAGGGACTAGAGCAAAAACTAAAATCTTTTTCACTGTTTAGATATAAAATCAACGCAATATCTCAAAAACAAAACATAGGGATCCATTTAACCTATATTATATGATCAATAGCGTAAGTCCAGTATTAACCGATTTAGAAACATAAGCGAAGCTAATGGAAGAGAAGACGGAAAAATGAAGAGGAAGATACTTACTTACGTTGTAAAGTCGCATGATAAATCATGCTCCCAATGGCAAGTGTCATATTAGATATGTGGAGGACACTAAACCTCTTCTCAAACCGCTGTCTTAGAGCATTTATAAGACCAAAGAGTGCCAAAACAATGCATGGGATGTTTGATATGGTGTTGAAAAACTCTGCAATATAGGAGGAGTAAATATAGTTCCTCTCGCACCAGTCAGTGGTTGTGACAGGACCCCAAAAGCTAGAAAGTCCTTCTTCCATTATTGAAGGAAGGAATATATTCCAGAGTCCAGACCAAAACCGATGTAATTCACTGGACAAAGAGGCACCTTTCAGTCAAAAGAAGTTCACAAAACCTGCAAAATAAAGAACTTCAAAGACAATGCGATGAAGAAATAAAGAAGCAAAAAGCAAATAAAATAACCAATAAATTTTCTTTGAGGAAAGAAAACTGTCTCATCAAATATCATAAGAGTAAAGATGGATAATATTTTTGTATAAGAGATAATATCTTCCTGAAAAAGATAGAAAAGAAAGAGTGCATAATTAATAACCGAAGGAATAAAGGAACTATAATCATAGAGTGCATATCATCATCTCATGTAAAAAAGGCAAAACCATTATATTCAGATATGTAAAGTATTGAATTGTTCACTTCATATCAGAAATAAATTACGACTTGGACTAAAAATACATGTTATCAAACATAATGAGCTCAACTACTTATTTTTAACAATTAACGCGCCAAAAAAATTCATTGTAGTGGAAGTTGATTTGAACACAACAATATAAGCTAGAACAAGTAACACGTATTATTTTGAGAAATAACTAACTCATCAATTCAACACCACTCATAGCCATACAAAAAATAAACTTAAAAATAAGTTTTAAAAACAACAACTTCTGGGTATTGATTATCTAGAAATTTTGGAACTGCCCACCATGCTTCTCTTTTAAGAACTAAAAGCAATACAATTTATTGTCCTCAAGTGATAATCTAGCACTCAATAATACTATAATAATAATCATCTACAGTCCTGGTAAATACAGTAACTAGAATTTTATTTTATTTTGGGTACATAAATTGTCTACCAATTGCGGAAAAATACGTCATTAACAAATCCTCAGAGATAAAAAAGGGTTTTTTTAATATATATTTTTTACAAGAAGATATGAAAAACAAAAGAGAAATCAAATTAATACCCAAATTCTAATGCAAAATAAGAGAGCGCCAAATTGATGGAACACAATCTAACCTATACCATCCAGAGAGAGATCTGCGTTTCTTCCAAAATCCTTCTTTCGGGGGTTTTTCTCTTTCTCTCTCTACTTTCTCTCTCTAGGTCTTTTTGTTCCCCTCGGCTGGAGGAATACCACAGTGAGGCAGTTTTTGGGAGGAGGAATTGGGACGCCTCGAGAGTGGGGCGTGGGGCAGATTCGGGAGACGTTGATAGACGATTCCGACCGTTGGATGAGAACTACGAGCGGTTAAGATTTGCTTCGGGTGTGGATTTTGGGGCCTTCTTATATGCTTTTCCAACTTCGCGTTAGGATAGCGTGGAACCCTGTGGCTTTTTTCCATTTGTTTTGAAAATTCTCTTTTAGCTTTTTAAAAAAAAAAAATTATTATCAAAAAAGGAGTTAAAGTGGGAATTTGCAGCTGTATTTATATTACGCGTTTTTAGAAGGTCAAACTTATGCCAAAATTATATTAAAATTAAAAAGTATGTATTTTTTAATAATAAAATTCAATTTTCTCAAAAAGATTTTGAGGATGATAACTTTCTAGGGATGATGCAGCCAAAAAAAAAAAAAATCTAGGGATGCTCTCAAGTCTAGCAGATACTTTTGCTGTTTCTCGTCTGGCACCGTCTCATTGAAAAGCAACAACCTTGATCAAATGAAGAGTATCCTAATGTAATTTCTCTTATTATTTCTGACACACAACATACCAGTAAAATGAAACAAAAAACAACAATGCAATGAGGTAAGGATTTAAATGGATAAAAGGATGTGTAGCTGGTGTTAATTATTAGGAAGATGTATTTATTATTTGATTAATAAAATAGTTTTTTCATTATTTATATGCATATATATTATTGAATACTTTGTAAATATCATTTAAAATTTAGTAATTATTTATGTAATCTTAAATATTGTATATAAGTGTTATATACGATATGATAATACTTAAGTATATAATCGAAATATGTTCGTAATGAACTTAATTAAAGTTACTAACTCTTTAATTAAAACGTTACTAATACACGTCATTTCTATTAAGAATGAAATGGTGCTATCTGCATCATTTATATAGGGGGATATTGAATGAGTGTATTATACATAATGAGATTATGTAGAATTGGGACACGAACACAATTTGATTTTCTGATAATTTTTGTTAAGTATAGAAAATCAAATTTGAGTCTACTGATGGGCATACATAGAATGATCTTAATCCCGAGTTATTAACAAATTCTTATTTAAGGTTCGTTTGGTTAGAGGATTCAAATCATGTGATTCAAACTATTTTTGATTTACGTGTATTTTTTATGAGAGAAAATACTGTAGCGAACCACGAATCATTATTCGAATCAGGGAACGAATCCCTCTACCAAACGCCCCCTTATAGATTCATGTTTTTTGACTTACTCGGTATGGATTTCGAGATTCTAAATCCTATTCTTTGTATCTTGGAAACATGATGAAATAGATAGCCGAAAATGCTAATGTACGAGATGAAATTCATTCATTCTTCCTTGAATAAGTAGATAAATAATTCACTTGAGATTTGATTCGATACTTGAATATGTAATGAGCTCGTATTCATAAATTTGTTTTATGAATATACTATTCATTAGAGAATCAATGGTACTCAAGGATAATAGGTTAACGAATTTTACCTAGCTCTAATTATAAATTACTTATGGAGGATTGTTCTCTATATAGTGACTATATCAAATGTACACTTCAAGTTCTTAGAAGTAAATTATGTCTATAATTTTGAGAGTGAAATTCCAAGTTTTTAGTGGAGTTATTTTTGGAATAAATAGAATTAGTTAATTAATTATATAGTTTAATTAACTATTAATTTTATTGGAGCTCAAAATTATAGATCCATAAGTCTCCGCGTCATTCTTATAATATTTGCAAGACAATGTGAATTATTGGGATTTAATATCATTTGAAATAAATAATGTGATTATTTAATTAAATTAATTTTAGAACACACTGTAGTGCGACCACAGGAGGCCACCGCCCAGCCACAAAGAGGTGCATGGGACGTGTGGCACAAGAATAATTCCACTGGGGTTCAATTGCTTTCTCTCTAAGATATCTGGTTTACATGTTTGACAAGTTTTTGACAAGTTTTCTAATTAAATTCAAAAGGAAATTAAACTTTGACTTTATTTAGATTTGAATTTGAGTTAAAATTGAAAATTAGAAAAAAAAAAAAAAAAAGAGGAGGAATTTATCTCCTCCTCCTAGCAGAAATATGCGCCAACCACAAGGAGATTCCTCTATGGTTTGGCCGGCCATTATAGATAAGGAAAGGGAGAGAATTTTGTTTCCAAAATTAAACGGAAAATAATATTTTAAATGGGATTTAAAGTAAAGTGATAACCAATTATTTATTGCTTTGACTTTAAGACGAAACAAGGGAGTTCTCCTAGGATTTTATAAATAGGAGACAATTTCATAGAGAGAGAAGAGAGAAGAAAAATTCTTCCAATTCCCAGTTTCATCACATGTATGCGTTGATAGTGGGGGAAGACAAATTAACGAGTGATCAAATTCAATGGTTCTATATTAGAGTCCACACTGTAGGTCTTGTAGATCTCAAGAACTAGATGAGGAAGATTTAGATTTTCTAAGGAGGCATGGAGCTTGGATTGTTCGAGGTAAAAAAAAATCAAGTTATCTGTCTAATCGTTCACTATGTATATATAATTATAAATTAATATGATTAATTTATTACCGTGTAAATTAATATATTCTATAGAGTGTTCAAAAGTTTTATAAAAATTTTTGTTATACACAATCAACACCTATTCGCTTCTGCATCCAAAATCATTTTAGAAACTAACACCAATAGTCTCTAAAATTTTCTCGTTCTCTTCCTCTGTGTCTCTCGCTCCTCTGTATATATCGCTTTAATATAGCTTTACAATTCTACTTCGCCCTAATTTTGAGTAGAAATCGTGGGTAACCTCGACAATTTGGTTGTAAGGAATTGCTAAAGTGTCAAGTATAATCGAATATCTCATTCTACTAATCCTTCATTTATTTTAGACATTGATTTTTTTGTTGTAAATACACTGCCATCGGTTTTAAAGAAAGGAAATGTTTAAAATACAAGATTTACAGTTTCTTATGAAACCGTCATCTAATATTGTTTTAAATACACAATTTGTTCATTTCGCAAAAATTCTCTTGAAAATCAAGATCCTGCCCAAACTGCGTTTTCATTTTGCATTTCGCTAATCTCTCCGCCCAAACAATGTCGTCGTTCTGCATTCCGTAGCGCCGCCATTTCACCTTTTGTCGCTCCGCTGTTCGACCTTTTGTGTCGCGCCGCCGTTCTACCTTCCGTGTGTTGCCGTTCCTTCACCATTCAGTTGTTAAATTTGCCACGATACCTCAAGTAAATTTCATTAATCTCCTAGTTTTTTACATAATTTTTATAAAAGTTATGTCCAAAATAGTTTAGGTTTTATGATTTTGAGTATTTTGGATGTTGGGTATTGTTGTTTGATAAAAGTTATTAGGTTGATGACGAAATTAGTTTAGGTTTTATGGTTTTAGTAATATGGATGTTGTATATTGTTGTTTGATAAAATTTGTTAGATTGATGATGAAATTAGTTTAGGTTTTATGGTTTTGAGTAATATGGATGTTGGGTATTGTTGTTATGATTAAGAAATTAAACTAGAAATGTTTAAGGTTATGCACATTATCTTGATTTTTTGTTTGTAGTTAATTATAAGTCAAATAGAAATTGAGTGAGATGATTGTTTTGAAATTGTATTAATCTTATGAATTGTTCAAGACATTTCTTTGGGTGATGTGATTTTGTATAAGATGAGTAATGAATATGAGAAGAGGTTGAAGAATTTGTTTCATTTGCAAAGAATACAATGAACATGAATATGATTTGTTGTCTTTGTGTAATGAGGAAATGTTAAAAAAACAATCAATAAATGATCTTTACATTCCATTTATTTCAATGTGGCATTCATCGGACTTATCAAACGTGGATATGGCACGGTGAAGAGGTTTCAAGTTCATCATCTGCTGTTAGGGGAATTGAGAGAAATGTTGATGTTGATTATGAAGAAGATGGAAGTAACATAGTTGAAATGATTAATGATATAGAGGAAGAACTTAAGCATCAACTAGAGTTATTTGAGAAGATGATAGATAATGCAGAGACACCATGGTATAGTGGGTGTAAGCGGTATATCAAATTGTCCGGATTGATTACGTTATGGAACTTGAAGGTGTCGGGTGGCTAGTCGAATGCAAGTTTCACAGGACTTTTAGAATTTTTAAAAAATGCACTTATAAATAATAATCAAGTGCCCGGTTCTACTTACGAGGCTAAGAAGATATTGAGCTCTATAGGGATGGAGTATGAGAAGATACATGCGTGTTCTAATAATTACGTGCTATATCAGAAAGAGTATGAAGAGTTGAACCAGTGTCTGATGTGCCATGAGTCTAGGTGGAAGAAAGTGTTGGGAATGATGTCCTAGAAACATACGATGTAATATGATATTTATTATTTATTTATTAAAAGAGTTTATTCATTATTTTATATGCATATATTATTGAATATTGTATGAATATCATTAAAATTTCTATGATTATTTATGTGACCTTAAATATTGTATATAAGTGTTATATGCGAGAGGATAATATTTAAGGATAATAATCAAAACGACGTTCGTCGTGAATTTAATTAAAGTTTGAGATATTTAATTAAAACATTACTAACACATGTCATTTCCATTTAGAATGGAACGGTGTTATCCGCACTGTTAATATGACAAGATATTGAATAAGTATATTACGCATTATGAGATTATGTGAAACATGGACACAGACATAATAATGAGATTATGTAGAATAACCACGTGAGAGTCTAAGTGCATAGCCTTAATGCTATGCCTTAAGCAATTGCCAAGTCATGCTTATAGGTTAGACAACTAAATATATATTTTCCAAGCGTTTAAACAATGAGGGCTAAGCATGGAGATATCACTTGGGAAATTGAGGAAGTGACACCTAGGAAAGTTAAGTTAAGAGTAGACTAATTTTCTTTACAATGATTTACATAATAAGAAGCAAAGGGGCGTGATTCATAGTAGCCGAAATAGGGAAAAAAAAAGGAAAAAAAAAAAGAAAGAAAGAAGAAAGAGAGAGAGAAGGATTTTCCTCTCCATCAGTTAGTTTGTAAGTAGATCTTTCACTGCATCACTTGAACAATATTTTCTTTCTAATAATAGTTTTAGTTTATATATGTTAATATTGATACGCTTTCATGAGATGTTAAAGTGTT